AAGTCTTTAACCGGCAGCTGTATATTCTCTATGGTTCTAGTTCCTGTCAGATAGATTTGCTATGGTTCTAACTTCTGCCAGGTCTCCAGGACCTGGTAACACTTCCTCCTCTCCTTTTGTCTCCAACCCAGGCTTGGAAATGGCTCACACTGTTACTAATCCTCGAGTTATCTCATTGTCTTAAATTGGGCTTTTCATCACTCCCATCTTTTGTGTAACCAAGTCTCTCAATTAAATTCCCTGTCTGCAAATCTTTTTATTTTCCTTTTTAGATTCTGCATGAAATAGTAGTTTTATGTTCTTTTCATAAAATGCATGTTTTCTACCCATGGTGTCAATTCTGTGAGCTACCTCAAATCTTTCCAATAAATCCCTTTTCTATTTAAGTTAGCCAGAGTTGGTCTCTGTTGTTTAAAACTGAGAACCCCGATGGCTACAATGAGAAAGGATGCAGTTGAATTTGTGGTCACATCGTGTGGAATCAGAATCTCTAGGGAGATTCCTTGACAAGTATCCATTAAAAAAAATGCATAGGTGATTGTGTTGCCCAGACAGGGTTGGAGACCACTTTTTTAGTTAATGTGATTGTCAATAGACATGGTAGAACAATGAATATAATTTGAGAATGTGGAGTCAAAAACCCAGTGTCTACTCTTGGTCTTCGCACTTACAGAGTCAATGTACAGTTAGAAACAATATCTCACAGGAAATTGTTTAAAAGACATATCGCATTCTTTTCATTGAAATAATGTTGTAATTAATGGTTAAGTTACAAATGGTTAGGTTTATATAAATTATAAAAAATAAAACTTTCTTTATGTGTCTGTTGCCACCATTAGAATGTGAGCTTTTCAAATGCAAGGATTGTATCTAACTCTTTTTATTTGTATGCCCCAGCATCTAGCAGAGAGTCTAGAATAAATAGTGCTCAATAAATGTTTATAGGATGCCTAACCAACATATATCACAAAGGCAAAGCTACAACTATAAACCTCTACAATAATTTAAAATAAACATGTTCCAAGTACTATAAAATAAGCATTTTTTTTACATTAATAAAAGGAGCTGTAACATGCTATAAAATATACAGAGAACCTAAACGATTACTCTTCAACTTTATTACAAATTTGACCTAAAACTCTAGTAAGTACCAGAATTATTTTTACTATTAGAGTAGGATTAATTTCGGAACGTGAAATAGAAAGGATTAAGAAGCAATTTCAAAATCTAAAACCTCAAGTGAGGAATCAGTTAATAAGAAAGCTTATCTGAAGAAAAAGTACTATTATATTCAATATTTAATAGAAATAGGACCGATATTTAGTCTTCTGCTAAAATATTGAATCATTTAGATGGAATAGTTTTAGTTCTTAAAAGCAGTTGGTAGTGGATTAAACAAAAATCTTTCAAAATCTCTCAAACTTTTTCTCATAGATTGTGACTTTTCACAATCCCGAGTTCCCTCCCTAATCAAGTATTTAGTATCACTGAGGATTTGATGTTAAAACCAAGCACTTCGGCAGGGAGAGCCAGCCTTATACCCTTGAGGAACAGTATTTTTTTTCTCTTGGTAGGAGCATTTTCTGATGCTTGATGTTTTCTAGCCTGTTCAGCCTGCCTGCCGTTAGTAAAATGAAATAACAAAATCAAATTACAGACAATGTTTAAGCACCAGAACTTAACACACTCTACACAATTAACATCTGATTTATTGAGAGAGCTTAGGCCGCTCTAAGTAGCAATGGCTATTCCAATTGACTTTCTAGGTACTGAGAAATTTAGTGTAATAGAAACCCAACCATTAGCCCAACAGGTAAATATCTGTTACCCCTGTATGGAATTGGGTTTCTTAGAGAACAGTCACTTTTTCCACAGGAAATTTAGCTTAGGTTCTACAATGTAATACTATAATTCATTTCAAAACTGTTCTTTTGCAGGAAATATTTGAAAAGAAAATGAAAGCAATTTTATTTCAGTGTAGGGAGGAAAATATTAGGAACTAGGAGGCAAAGATAGAAGAAAATATTACAATAGATTATGTTGTTCCCAAAGCCAGGAAATTGGGCTCAGTTTTCAATGCTTCAGGTTCTTACTGAGGCCATAGGAAGAAAGGAACTTTTGAGACTGCGATACTCAACTTCATCTGCCGTGAAGCAGAGATTCTTGAGATACCGAAGGGCTGCTCCTCTTCTCTGTTCCACCAAGATGTTATAAAGATTAATTAATGATTACTGATATTTTTATTTCCCTCTAAAAGTTGATTGTAATTCAGTTTGACAACCTCTTCTGAGTGGCTCCTGTGAGTAAAGAATTGTGCATGGGATGGTGAGAGACACAAAAATGAATCTAACCAGGTTGCTTCTACCTTCTGGGGTGTTTTGGGGTAGACAGAAAGAATCTGAACTTGAAGGCAGGCTTCCATTTTAGCTCCACCATTACCTAGTTGGGTAACTTTGGGACAGTTGCCTGATCTTTTAGAGCATCTGTTTTGTCATGTCTGAAATGCAAATAACAATACCTACTTTCTCAAGGTTTTTTTTGTTTGAAGATTAAAAGAATTAACATATGTAAAGTGCCCAGAGTAGTACCCAGCATAGAGTATGTGCTCATGAAATTTTGTTTGCTTTCCCTTTCCTTTCATCTCAAGAGCCTCTAGCTATTGAGGAACATAGACATGAAAATTAACTATAGTACAAGATGAACTGAAGTAAGAAGTAAAAAAGAAAGTTAGAGCTTCTGAGAGGAAGGAGACATTATTAACAAGAGGGGGAATCAGGGAAGATTCTATTTAAGAGGTGATTTTGACTCTGGGCTATGACAAGTGACTGTGGAAGGAGTATGACATGTGGAAAATGGTGAGTATTCCTATGTGACCTCCTCAGTTCTGGAATATCTGTGTAGGGGGGCACAGTCTGATTGGCAGGGAGAAGTGCAGTTCTAGGGGAGATTATGGGTAAAGAGACTAAAGCCCTTCTGTCCCATCCCACCCCACCATGACTTGGAATGTGACAGGCGTATGCGATATTTGGACAGATGTGTGTGTTTAATGAGAGCGCAAAAACTGCTCGGGAGCAGATTGTGTGGGACCTCAAATGCCTAGGACTTTGAACTTTATTATATAGATTTTGAGGATGACTATAGATGTTTGAACAAGAGATTGGTATGTTAGTGTGTGTGTGTGTGTGTGTGTGTGTGTGTGTGTGTGTGTGTGTGTGTGTTTTACAAAATCTCTAGAGCAATGTGAAGCATTGAGAGGAGAATTATAAAAACTTGAACTCATCTAAATACCCAAGATATACCCAGGAGCATCCTCCATCTAGGGGCTGCCAGTGAGGGAGATAACAAAAATAATAAATACTTGTTTAGCACCTCCTGTTTGCCAGGTATTACTCTAAGAACTTTACCTATATCAGCTCCATTAGTCCTCACTACAACCCTATGAAGTAGGTCGTGACATTACCCTCATTTTATAGATAAGGAAACTCAAGGTTCAATGACTTGCTCAAGGTCATGGCAGAGCTGGGTTTTGAACTTATTCAGTTGACTCTAGGCTAGTAACCAGTACCTCTACAGCAATTCCTGGGCTTCACTGGAGGCTTGGTACTGTAGTTATGGGAAAAGGACAGACCAAGGAATGGGAAAATAAAGACGTGAAAGGAGAGTGCACCACAGAAAATAAACAATTGCCTGTCGGGGGAAGCACTAGAGGTCCCGAAGTAATAAGTTCAGGTACCCACAGGTACCAAGTGCAATCTTTACCATAAGCTCTGTACACTCATAGAACAAAGCTCAGGTTTTTGGAAATTGATTTCATTATCTAAGGGAAGATTTAAGGAATGAAGACTTCAAAAATTATTATCATATAAAGAAATAATCAGAAACAGCTCAGTCTGCCAGGTACATTGTTTTCGAAAAACTAGCAATTGGAAGAAGTGAAATGGACCATGAAAATAATTAAATGGGCTGGGGTTCCTATTTCAAAGGAAAACTCTTAATTAAGATACTTCATGATTGGATCCGGTTTCTCTCTTACTACTTTCTTCCAGGGCAATTAAAACTATTTCCTGTTTCCAAATCCATCCTACCTTCTCATAGTGTCTACATGCCCCAATTCTATTTTCAAGGCATAGAACCTGTACCTAAGTTGCCTTTCCAAATGCTCTCCACCCATCTCCATCTTGCCCTCACCCAGGATGCTGACCTGTATGGCATAGGTCATCAGGCTCCTATGCCTTTGGCTTCCAGTTGGATTCAGCCAATGGGAGTCCCAGTAGACAATCAGACAGGAAGATTTGAGATCAGGACATTTTTCTCCCTAGTGTGTTCTCTGAGAGGCCACTGGGGCTGGCTGGCTGTCTTGACTAAAGCTCCTTGCTCCTCATAAGGTAGCATTCTCTTAGAACTCTTATGGGTTTTAATACTACTCCTTCTCCTTGGCTCTTTGGGCTTAGAGTAACAGCTCTGTTGTTAATAAGCTTGGATGACTGAGTTACCTCTTGTAGTTCCCCTATACCCTTTTCCTCCTTTAAATAGACACTTTGTTAAACTGCCCTCATTAGCCTTATGTGATTCTGTGATCAGTTTTCTTTTGGGACTCCGATATATATATTTCCATTATGAAGCACTCTTTTCTCTGAACTCTTACAAAACTTGATTTTTATCCCCTTGAAGGTACTGTTCTTTTGCAAATTACAGTATTTGCATACATGTTGTAGGTTTGTCCCTTATTGAGACAAACTCAATGAATGTTAAAAGGATGGCTGAATGGCGAAGACATAAAAGAGAATATTATTGTGTCATTTAAGTTTCTCTTGAATTTCCTGATCTGTTACTGTTATTTTAACATGAAAACTAAAGTTCCTTCACATCACGGGGAAAAGTCTACTTCTGAATCACTGGAATATAGTGTTAAGTCTGAGCTGTCTGCAGATGTATCAGCTCCTCCTTCCCTCATACTAGTCAAGAATGTGTTCTGATGGTGCGTCTCATGTGTGTTGCAGGCCTTTCTCTGTAGAGCCATCGTTTGGAACCCTTAATGTGGGAGAGTCCATGCAACTGGAAGTGGATTTTGAGCCAAAGACTGTGGGCAATCATAGCAAAAGGCTTATTGTGTATTACGACACAGGTATGCATTATTTGTTAAAAGTTCTATGTTATGAAAGGTCAGATGGAAAATATGATGAAATAAAATAGGAAATGGTAATTTTGGCTGCATTAGAGTAAGCTATGATTCTCAAGGTAAAGAACAAAAGAATGAACACCTCCAACAGAAATAATGTTGAGGCAGATATAAATCCTACCTGACTGGTTTCTCCAATGCTTGAAAGCCTCAGAAATACATAGCTTAGGAAGGAACCTATACCCAGATGTCACACTAGTAGGTTGAGGTTATTAATATGTAAATAGAACTTGAAAGTAACTTAATCTCCCATGTGTTTTCCATTTGATTTATTGCTGCATTTTGTCTAACATTTTTAAAATGTAAACTCCAGTTCAGAATGGTCTTATATGTGCCCATTAGTCTATGTAAGATCCACTTACTTTAATCCTTAGAATATGCAAATATCTTACTTAAATATAGGACTCTGACTATTGCCACTAGCATTTTCTTGAAAATTATACATGGTTTTTGCAAGTATTTAATTTTAAGATAGTCATGCAGACTGCATGTACATTATGCAAGTCTCCAAATCTGGTTTTGAAATTAATATTTTACCATTGCCATTTATTATTTCATAATTTTTCTCATTTCCTCCTCACATCTTTTTTACCCATTCACATTGATTGATCCAGATTGTCTCAGAAGGACATTGTAGGGAGAAGACAGACTTGCACAGCCGGGGGAATAGCAACAAATGACACATATCTGAGCAGGACAATTCAAGCTGTTGCCTAAGGACATGTGGTTAAGAGGTCGTGGCTGCATATCGTACAAAATAACAACACATGACCATAGTTACTCTCTATATTTCTTATCTTTTGGTGTTGGCCATAATTCACTGGCTGCAAGCAAGAGAAACGGAACCTGAACTAGCTTAAGCAAAGGGAGAAGTTTTGGCCCATGTAAACCAACAGTGGAAGGTTAAAAGCACAGTTTATAACACATCAGAAACATTGATTTTTCCAAAGTAGCTGTGCCATTTTACACTCCCACCAACAAAGCGTGAGAGTTCCAGTTTCATCCTCACCAACACGTAGTGTATTGTTCATTTTACACATACTAGTGGTGTAGTGATATCTCCTGGTGGTTTTAATTTTCATTTCTCTAGTGATTAATCATGTTGAGCACCTTTTCATGTGCTTACTAGCCATTCACATATCTTTTTTAATGAAGTGTATTTTTAAGCCTTTTACTCATTTTTAGTTGTTTTCCCTTTTATTAATTTGTAAGAGTACTTTATAACTTGATATTCTGTGTACTAGTCATTTGTCAGATGTATGTATTGCTAATATTTTCTTTCAGTCTGTAGCTCACCTTTTCATTTTCTTAATATTTCTTGATGAGTGGAAATTTTTAATTTTGATGAAAATCACATTATCAATTTTTTTCTTTTGCGATTAATGCTTTTTCCTTTTTTGCTAGGAAATATTCACCTTCTCCAAGATCATGAATGTATTCTCCTATGGTTATTTAGAAGGGTAGTTGTTTAGATTAATGATTGATTTTTGATTTCACTTTTGTGTATGTGTGAAGTAGGGACAATGTTGTTGTTTTTTTTTTTTTCTTATATAGATTATTGGCTCTTCTTCATTTTATTATCTTGTACTGGAATTCTAGTTAGTTACTCTATGATTCTATTACTTAATCTTTTATTATTCTATTATTTATTCCTTTCAACCTCTATTTTATGTTTTCTATTTCTTTGTCACTGTAGATGTCTCTGGATACTTTCTTCTTATCCATTCAATAATTTCCTCATTAGTGAAGTCTCATCTGCTGACTTTTAATTTTTCAATTATAATTATTTTCATTTTAGAAATTTTATTTGGTTCTTGTTAAATAAAATTGTTCTCTACTCTTTTATTTTTCAAGTTTCCCTTTTATTTCTTAAATATATTAAACATAGTTAATCATATTCTGTATCTGATAATTCTACATTATCTATCATCTATCTATCTATATCTATCTGTCCATCCATCTTTCTCTCTTTTTCTTTCTTTCTTTCTTTCTTTCTTTCTTTCTTTCTTTCTTTCTTTCTTTCTTTCTTTCTTTCTTTCTTT